GTGGTGTACCCTTTCCAGTCTGAGAAGAGAAGCAGAACACTGAACCTGCCGAGTATCCAGATGATAGTAGATGGTCTTTGCATAAACATTCATCTGTTGTGGGTCTTGCTCTAGAACTAATGTTATGCTCTGTCCCGTAGGGTTGCTATCTAAAGTGCACCAGCATTACATTCGATTTTGGGCCTTGATATGGTTGTTTATTTTTACCTTGATATGCTCTTTTTTGGCCTTGATATGGTTGATTTTTTTGGGCCTTGATATGGTTGATTTTTGTTAGGCCTTGATATGGTTGATTTTTTTGGGCCTTGATATGGTTGATTTTTTTTTTTAAATATCCATAAACCATGAGTTGTTAACCCTTTGGCTCGGTACTATAGATATCGCAACCCTTCAGCCTTGATTCCTTGATAGATACCGTCAATCTGGGAGAAATGTGGCTTGTCTGCCTATCCCCGGGCGTGAACCCAGACCACACGGAATTCGTCACCCAGTTACCGCAAAGTCAGGTTTAGCCAACTACGCCAGCGAGCCATGGTTGACAACATATATTGTTGAAGTTGATCAATAAATGTTGAAATGTTACCTTAATATTTACCATTTCAAACAAAAGTCTGTATAGTATTTCTACATGAATAATTCTTAATCTTTACTGTGAAACACATTTGGTCGTTTTATAACTGAGGTCTTTAGCTTGACATTTTCCAGGTGTCCACGTTTTCTGTTGCAGTGTGTCTCACCTTCCATCATTATTTTTAAAATGACATAATTGTTTAAAAGGTCTCCATGGCGGAGTTAGGTTACACCTGTTACCTAGCCCTCTGGATTTGGGGACAGATTTTGGACACCGTCCTTTGGCGAGCAGGTACAGCTGTTTCGAAGAAAAACAGGTCGTCGCTGTAACTACGGAGTTTCGTGTTTTGTGCAAGGATCTCGGCAGGCGGACAAACGCTCTGTAGAGAGGGACTGAACCATTCAGGGTAAAACACAGAGGCCCTGAAATCGATCCTATTGCTTCCAAACAACATTGAAACTACCTTTAACATTTATAAAGGGTTGAATTTAAGGTTTCCCTTGTGGGTTCCGGGGCCCTATTTTCGACGAACAAGAATAAACCTACACTCTCTTACAAACATGTCGTAACATACGACTGAATAGGAGTATGCTAGAATCGGATGTATTGGTCTAATAGCAGAATACATTAGGAGAAACTACAAGAATACTTGGGTGTGCACAAGATATTAATGTTGCTGGAGAACATGAACTAGAGACTGTTAAAACACTGACTCTCTTGAAAGAAGCCGCTCACAAAATGGGACTAGTTATCAGTCAAGATGAGACAGAATACATGATAACAACTAGACAGTAAAAGGATTTAAAATCCAGCCATATACAAGTCGATAATATGAAAATGAAACGAACGGAAGCATATAAGTACTTCGATGCAAAACTTCAAAACTCCAACATGCCGAGAGAAGAAATTCAGTCTAAATACAATCTGGAAATAAAATATACTATGCCCTTCAACATCTGCTAAGGTCAAAGTGTCTGTCTCGCAACACCAAGATCAGAATATATAAAACGTTGAAAAGACCATTCGTGTTATATGGCTCTAAAACTACGCGCACAACTAAAAGAGATGAAGCCTTATTACGGGTTTTCGAAAACAGTCTTAAGACAAATCCTTGGACCCATCAAAGATGCACAAAGCGGGAAATTGAGAGTGAGAAGCAACAATGAAATTCATATTCTGTTAAAATCAACACTGATCACTGGTATCATGAGATCTAATATACTAAAATGGCTGGGGCATATTGAGAGAATAGCAGATGACAGAGAGGTAAAAACTGTATACACAAGGGTGCTGAAAGGTCGAGACCACGAGGCAGATCAAAAAGACGATGGAAAAATAATGTCCAGACAGACCTTCAAGCAATTGATATCACCAACTGGAAAGAGAAGGCCAACCAGAGAGATGAGTGGACATGGGTGATATCTGCAGCAATGAACCTCATAGGCTCAGAATGCTAAAGAAGAAGAAGAAGTTAAGTAAAATGCTTACAATTCATTGGCCAGCACAAATGAATTATCCGATGTTTAGAAAGATGCCAAGATCCAAAGATAACTTATCACAAACATAAAAGGGGTGTCATACAAATCTGGTCACATTAAGAGAAAAGACACTTAGGAAAATGTTGTTACAGCTAGAGAGATTCATTTAAGGAGTGTCAGAGACTGACAGAAGGGCAGGGGAATGGCAGGAGAGGACAGGGGAAGGGCAGAGGACTGGCAGGGGAATGGCAGGGGAATGGAAGAGGAAGGAGTCAGCGCACAACTGATACATGCTGTTGAAGATCGCAAGATATCAGAAGCATGACCCCTGACGTTATCTGCTAAGGCACCTGGTGATCAGTTGAAAGACGTAACAATTTAAACCAGGGTTATTCAACTGACGGCCGGCGGGCCAAATGTGGGGCGTGAGACTCTGGCCCGTGGTTTTACCCATTTTCAAAAGTTTGGTTCCTGAGAAAATTTAGTTGAACTGCCCTGAAAACAGACACAATCGCAGTTTGGGCTGCGAGACTCTAATTGTTCACGCGGAAAGTTTAGGGGGAAGGGGTAGATGAACAGTTCGCTAGCAAGCATGTTGCACAAAGTGGTGTTTCTTTCGAAGAATAAACAAAGAAAGAAACACCAGAAATCCTCGTCATATTAGCACTTTAGAAAATCAAAGCAATGTTGCCCCATTGTAAATGCGCCTCACAAGCTAAGCGAAATATACCAAATAAATTCTGCAATGCATTTTTTGTCTTATTAGTACAAACACTAAACACCCAGTGCATTTTCCCATTGGCCCTACGCAGTGTACTCAGTACTAAAATTTTTGGGACACTTTGAGTACCAGCATCTGTGTGTGTGTTTTTTTTCCTTGAAAAAAATTCCGGCTAGATCTTATGAATGGTTATTACAGATTTGAGTATGGAGGCATTCATCTTCCCACACCCGGATGTTTAGTGGCGGGGGTTTAGAAGAAAAAAGAAGACAAAGAAGAAGAAGAAGAAGAAGAAGAAGAAGAAGAAGAAGAAGAAGAAGAAGAGGAAGAAGAAGAAGAAGAAGAAGTAGTAGAAGAAGAAGAAGAAGAAGAAGAAGAAGAAGAAGAAGAAGAAGAAGAAGAAGAAGAAGAAGAAGAAGAAGAAGAAGAAGAAGAAGAAGAAGAAGAAGAAGAAGAGGAAGAAGAAGAAGAAGAAGAAGAAGAAGAAGAAGAAGAAGAAGAAGTAGAAGAAGAGGAAGAAGAAGAAAAAGAAGAAGAAGAAGGAAGAAGAAGAAGAAGAAGAAGAAGAAGAAGAAGAAGAGGAAGAAGATGAAAAAAAAAGAAGAAGAAGATGAAAAAGAAGAAGAAGAAGAAGAAGAAGAAGAAGAAGAAGAAGAAGAAGTAGAAAAGAAAAAGAAGAAGAAGAAGAAAAAGAAGAAGAAAAAGAAGAAGAAGAAGAAGAAGAAGAAGAAGAAGAAGAAGAAGAAGAAGAAGAAGAAGAAGAAGAAGAAGAAGAAGAAGAAAAAGAAGAAGAAAAAAGAAGAAGAAAAGAAGAAGAAGAGAAGAAGAAGAAGAAGAAGAAGAAGAAGAAAGAAGAAGAAGAAGAAGAAGAAGAAGAAGAAGAAGAAGAAAAAGAAGAAGAAGAAAAAGAAGAAGAAGAAGAAGAAGAAGAAGAAGAAGAAGAAGAAGAAGAAGAAGAAAAGAAAAAGAAGAAGAAGAAGAAGAAGAAGAAGAAGAAGAAGAAGAAGAAGAAGAAGAAGAAGAAGAAGAAGAAGAAGAAGAAGAAGAAAAAGAAGAAGAAGAAGAAGAAGAAGAAGAAGAAGAAGAAGAAGAAGAAGAAGAAGAAGAAAAAGAAGAAGAAGAAGAAGAAGAAGAAGAAGAAAGAAGATAATTACAGCTTATTTATAACGATCAGTAAGTAATACAGACTCACACTTACTTAGTCTCACACACGCACAAATAGTTTGAATGGTTGTTTGTGCTCATTAAAACCTTTATTCACAAAATATACAAAAAATAAATAACCTCATATTAAAATTTTCCATATACACATTGAAAAAATGGAAAAGGGGGGGGGGGGGGGGGGGGGGAGAAGGGAGTTCCATAACTTTGTGTAAATATCACGTGATGGTGACGTTAATAATCAAGAGGAACTATTGTAGAAACGTGTAAAATCACCAAGGACAGAAGTTATATGTAAAGTAAAATGTAACGGCCCTTTTCCACACCTTTCAGGCATATTGGGTATATAGGGCTAGACGTATATTTTATAAACAACGACACAAGATGGGTGATGGGGTCAGCATCAAGCCGGCCGCCTTTACTTCCCGGGACTGCACCTGGTACCCACTCAAGACTGGGTCGACCAGAGAGCCAAGTTAATTTTTGAAAAAAGTCCGGCTCCGCCAGAGAGCGAACCGACGACCTTCCGATCCGCAGACAAGCGTGTAGCCGCTACGCCATGGCGACTTCCTAGAAGTTATAAGGGACACATGAATATATTTTGTGCTCATGGTATTTTTTTCTTTTTAAATGTAAAAGGTATATTAAACCCAAGCTTACTGGAAAGGGGTGTTTATTCTGTTTCATCCTCCATGTTATTTATAATCGGGAAATGAAGTATTTATCGGGATATCAGAGTACACATTTGTTGTTGACTGACTGACTGACTTTCTACCCCACCAGGACATCACACAAGCGATAAACACCCGATGACACAAAGTGCCACCATGTGGATGAGGATCGCCGTGGAGAGGTCCCAGAAACCGCGTTCAGACATTTGGCCATATGTATGGCCTGCCTATATTGCGGCCCCTGGCAGAAGCCAGAGTAGGGCTTCAAATGACGAAAAATTTCATCCTTAAAAGGACGAAATTAAAAATAAGCATATACACATTTGTTGTTTTATACATTGTGTAATGATGTCTTCTTGGACATTTATCTATGTAGACCAAAAGAATGTGACATAATTTTAAAACCTAATCAGTTTGACACTTCCAAGAAGCACGGTGAGCGTCCTCCTCGACCACGCCTGGATGTCAGCAAGTCGCCTAACAGCCACCCTAACATCCTGGTTAGGGCCTAAATCCAAAATGGACTTGACGAAGATACAGTAGCTACTGAGATCTTCGGCCAGCTTGAGGATCCTTCTCCTGTCCGTGGAGTCGGGAATGTCCTGTGCTAGCACGAACGTGAACTCTGTCACGTGATGTAGGGCACGCTTGACCTCCACGCAGGAGCGGAGGAATTTCGTCACGTGGGGCGTGAAAGTTGTGTTCATGAGGCTGGGCTCCGTGGCGTCTTTGACTTCAGCGCCGCACAAAGTAAGAATCTGTCAAAAATATAACATTTATTATTAATTAACAAATAAATAATAATATAAAGGATATTGTTATTGAAAAAGAAAGTTAGTTTCGTATCCTGCACATGAATAATCACAGGGGAACACTTGAGGACTTAGAAATATTTTATATATATATATATATATATATATATATATATATATATATATATATATATATATATATATATATAAAGAGAGAGAGAGAGAGAGAGAGAGAGAGAGAGAGAGAGAGAGAGAGAGAGAGAGAGAGAGTGAGAGAGAGAGAGAGAGTTTTTAGTATCCAGAAGCCATGAGTTGTTAACCCTTAGGCTCGGTATTATGGATATCGCAACCTTTCGGCCTTGATTCCATTGCAAATACCGTAAATCTGGGAGAAATGTGGCTTTTCTGCCTACTCCCGGGAGTGAACCCGGACCACAAGGAGTTCGTCACCCGGTCCCCGCGCAATCCGGTTTAGCCAACTACGCTAGAGAGCAAGACAAACAGGTAATGTAATAATTTGCACTCATAGGCAGAAGTAGAAAGATAGAAGGCGTAGTTGGCCATGCTCTTAGCGAGGCGCACATGCAATCTGGAGGCTACAGGTTCGATTCCCGGCACCATATCTGTAGCTTTAAAAAAAAATGTCTAGTATGTTCTTCTATCTCTACTTCTGTCGATGAATACAGTATCTATTTGTTTACTATATATTTATATATATATAAATAATATCCTTTACAAGACTTTGCAGAACCAAACCAACATTTTTGGTTATTTTGAATTTACTAGGAACTTTACTTTCAGTACTTTACCATTGCACAGTAGGCTCTTGATACCCGGTAGAAATCACCACGATCTACTGCCAATCTCTTCTTCTTCTTCGCGTTTTACCAGCTGTACACTCTGGCGGAAAGTTCTGGTTGTTCGTCCACCTCTGAACTGCCGTCCTGCTCCAGGACCTGAGTGTTGCGCGTGCAACAGTTTTACACATCTGATTCACTTGAATGCAGACTGTCGGTTACTTGCTTCTCAGGCGGATGCACTCCGACTTCAAAGGAAGCTCCCTAACTAATCTTACGACATGCTTGTGGGTAGGCAGTGGGTATGTTCTTGTTTTCCCCCACAAGGAGGCCCCAGAGCCCACACGGGGAGATGCCATTCTGAAATGGCCCGTTATCATAAGCACACGCATATGTTTGTGCTTACTAGTAGTTGTTTGTGTATTGCTTCATGTCTGGTAGTTTGCTGGCTGAATGCATGCATCTCTCTCTCTCTCTCTCTGAGTCTCTCTCTCTCTCTCTCTGAGTCTCTCTATCTATTTCTTTTTTAATGTCTGTTTGTTTGTCTATGTAAACACATATATGAATTCGTGAGTGTATGTATGCTTTCTCTCTATGGCTCAGTCATAACTGTGTCACACAATTATTTATAAACCCTTATGAATGAATGAATGAATGAATGAATGAATGAATGAATGAATGAATGAATGAATGAATAAATGAATGAATGAATAAATAAACTGACATTATTGCACTCGGGACATTCCCACACCTGCTCCGACCCCTTCTTCAGTAACCGACGAAGAGTCGACATGATAACAGTACCAGTTGCAACCAAATTACAAGTCTGCCTCTGTTTCCCCTTCAATGTTGACTATCTCCCAGAACCTCTACTCACCTTCCTTTGAATTAGTCTTTCAATGAATGCATTTCCTGTGTGTTCTTTTGCACTGTCCGTTTGATCTCATAGAGCCTTCACCACATCTATACTCTTATGAAACAATCCTTACTTTTCATCTCACGATTCTTATTCCTCCCCAGGTTCGCGGCATGTGGCGATGATAGTCATGTCTATCCACAACTTTCTGAGTTGTATACTTTCAATCAACTTCGACACAGATGATCTTCTTTGCCATATGTCAAACTGTCTAGCATCTTCTATCTACATCTTTTCCCTTCCAACTTGTCCGTCGTACAAATGTACTCTAGTTTTCTCATTCTCGTGACCTGACCAAAGCATTCAGTTCTCTTCATGAATCATTTTATGTCAAGACTCTTCTTATTCTTATTCGCGTTCACCGGCTGTAAACTCTGGCGCAAATTTTAGGTTGTTCGTCTACTTCTCGACCGCAGTCCTGTTTCAGAACCTGCGCGTTGCGTGTGCATCCGTCTGCCAGATCTGACTCATTTGTGTACAGACTGTTAGTTCCTTGCCTCTCAGGCAGATGCGCTCCGACTTCTAGGTAAGCTCCCAATTAGTCGACTCTTACAACATGCTTTTGGGTAGGCAGTGGGTCTATTCTTGTTTTCCCTGTAGTAGGGCCCGGGAACCCACATAGGGATCTGTCAAGACATATTCATTACTGTTATTATCTTATTCTTACTGTTCGTATTTTCACAATCAATACTCTACGTCTACTACACAATCCTTATTCTACTTCTACGACACAATCCATACTCTACGTCTACTACACTATCCTTACTCTACCTCTGCCACACAATCTTTACTCTATCTCTACGAAACAATCTTTACTCTACCTCTGCCACACAATCTTAACTCTACCTCTACAACACAATCCTTACTCTACCTTTGCCACACAATCCTTACTCCATCTCTACGACACAATTCTTACTCTACCTCTACGAAACATTCACTACTCTCACTCTGCCACACAATCTTAACTCTACGACACAATCCTTACTCTACCTTTGCCACACCATCCTTACTCTACCTCTGCGACACAATCCTTAATCTACCTCTACAACACAATCCTTACTCTTCCTCTACGAAACATTCATTACTCTACCTCTGCCACACAGTCTTAACTCTACCTCTACGAAACATTCATTACTCTACCTCTGCCACACAATCTTAACTCTACATTTACGAAACAATCCTTACTTTACCTCTGCCACACAATCCTAACTCTTCTTCTTCTTCTTCTTCTTCTTCACTTCCTCTTTTACTGCTGTGGGTGTCGAGGGAGATATAAGGTTCTGTTTCTGGCTCTTCTGGCCGCCTCGACCATAGGCACATCGTGCTGTTGTAGAGCTTCTCTGATGTTATCCTTCCATCTTGTTTTTGGTCTACCTCTTGCTCTACGACCTTCTTCTCTTTCCATGTATGCTTTGTATGGTATGGTGTCACAAGGCATTCTCTCTAACTATACCTCTACGAAATAATCTTTACTCTACATCTGCCACACAATCTTAACTCTACCTCTACGACACAATCCTACCTCTACCTCTACGACACAATCCTTACTCTACCTCTGCCACACAATCCTTACCTCTGTTTTCACCATGAGATCCTTCTGCCCCAAACGTGCCAACTCTTTGACCATCTGAACGATCTTGGCGTGATATTTGCAGTTACTGGCTTCCCCCTTCTGTTGCAGGGCTTTCTGGTACATAGATGTCCTCTGGCGAGATCTGACTGGTTTAGGCTGCTTGCTGGCTGTTGTCTCGTTGATTGAGATCTGTGGTATCGCGATGTGGTTGACTTTGATCATTCGAGTGTGCTCGAAGACAACGGAAGGAATGGGCTTACAGATACTGTGGCCAACCCATTCCTTAAGACACACCCAACAAAATTGAAAGCCACATTTGCAGGACATGTGAGTACAGCCACCGTTCTTATCGATGAATTTCTTACAGCGTGGACAAACGCGGCCTTCAATTTCCATTACTTCAGCGTTCTTTCTTTCCAGCTGAGGAGGTTCAGAAGGGTTGTCTGTTGGGAAGGCGCCACCGGCAGGTTCTTGTGGGACCTTATGAATCCTAAGTTTCTGCCGGTATTCTTCTGCTTGTCTACAAGTGGCTGGCCAGTGAGGTTGAGAGAGACATAAGCAGCAAAATTCTTGTCCACAATCACAGGTCACATCGAAAGATGCATCTATAACGGATGTCTGATTGCCCAGTTTGACAATTCGACCACAGTTGGGATTGGGGCACCAGCGAGAGTTTGGAGCTGATTCCATCTCGCCCTCACACTTTCGCTAAAAGAGCTTTGTCACTTCAGATACGTGTAGAAGAGACAGTAAGGTCACGGGACCAACGATTTCGTCACAGTCGTAACCGGGACAAACCATTTTCTGCGCTCCACTGTTGATTTTGGCTCTAAAATGTGATCTCCAACAGTCGTCACAGAAAATATGGCCGCATTTTGACAGTCTGGTTCCAGAAACGGACCTGTCCTGAGATGGGTTAACGTTTTCATAACAAATGTCGCAAAATACATCAGTGTCTAGATTTCTTATCATGTCGATGAAGTTGGCTGAGATCAGAGTCTCCTGCAATGCATCTGTTTGGGAAAGTCTGCAGATCTCATCAAAGGTACGAATTGTTTCTATGTTAACTCTCATTAGATCATTAACGAACTTTAGTGCTGGCTTCATTGTTGTTTCCTGTGCTGGTGGGTGATCAGTTGAAAGACAATTTTCAGCTTTCATGTCAAGTAAAGCACAGACAACGTGGTTCATGATGTTTTCAATGGATGTTTCTTGAAACGGGATACTTTTCGCTACAGATTCTGTGTAATTGCAGATATTAGAGTTCAAGGCGACTTTAAAAGTGTCCAGACCTTCATCATAGACACCATCATGAACAAACACCAAGTATGACGTGTACATAGCATTCTGCTCAGTGTATCTATGTTTACACAGTAAATTATAGACATCATCTGTAACATTGACAGTGAAGCGTCTGGGTTCGCTTCCTGCTTCTGCGTAGCAGTATCCATATTTGGCTCGAAGTATTTCTGGAGTCGTATCTGCCGATTTCACGATGACCCGACCATAGTGGAGATTTACAAACGGGGATGATTTGGGCTTCTCTTCTGGCTCTTTCACTTTTTTACGCTTGGGCTTCGGTTGCTTTTGTTTCTGGGTGCACGTTAACTTCGGAGGAGCATCATTAATGTATACGATGTGTGATTTGTCCATCTTGTCTGATGAACTATTCCTGCAACACCTTCTAGAATCAGTGTGGCGTTGAAGAACTGGCTCCTTCCCACACAATGCCTTTGCTTTCTCTGCCTGACTAATCAAACAAGCAAGGAGATTTTCTGAAAGTTGCAATGGCTCCTGGGAATCATAGTTCTCTGTGTTGTCATCTGTTTGTGAAATGTGTTTGCTTGAACTACCATTTCCTTCTTGGTAACTGACCTCGCTATCTGCATCAGAAACTGGATCGAAATCAGAATCTTCGTAATCCTCAGCCCAGTACTGTTCTAAATCCATTTCTTCTTGATATCTTTTACAGTCATTTGCTGAGAATCGTTTCCTGTATCTTCTTTTATTCTTGGATACGTTTGTATTCGATTTTACTTCTTTCTCTCCATCATCTACAGATTCCACTAGGATATTTGTATACTTGGGATTGTAGACAAGAGAGCAACTCTGAGGGCATGGACGGAACACTTCTACTCGATATTCGGGATTTGAATTTGAAACACCATATTTGGCCGCGCCTGCTACAGTGAACACTTCTACTGTCTTAACAAGCTTGTTGCTTTTGCTTTTTTCAATTTTGATTATTGGAGGCTTAATCTTTTTCATTGTTTCTGCTTTTTGACGTTTCCATTGCCTGATTGACTGCTCATTGTCAATGTTGTCTAGGTTGAAACTGAAGTAGCTCTTCTTTTTTGGCGCCACATTTCGGACGCGGTCTTGATTGCAAACGAAGCTGACACAGTTGGCTTTTTTCTTCAACTTGTGGCGTTCAAGAAATGATACCAGAGTTTTTCCTTCATTGAAATGTCCAGTTGTGATCATGTGACTAACTTTGGCAGGGAGTGTCCATCTTGCCTTTTTGTTCAGGGACAGTAAAACGTCCGTTGACGCCAGAGTTGAGGTAACCAGCTGGTCCTCTGTGGCAGATTCTAGAAATCCTGGCACCTCTAGGGGTTTGAGGTTTGATCTGCTGAGGATACATGCCTGGCTGGAGTACCTTTAATGGAAAGCAGACAAGTGTTCACGCCAACTGTAAGGCAGAATACACGCACACGCACACACATACATACACACACACAACACACACCCTCCCCACCCACAAATGCATACATATATTGTTTCTACATTCAAAGCTGCAGTATAGACCATCATCATCATCATCATCATCATCATCATCATGATCATCATCATCATCATCATCATCTCGTGCCTTGCGAGGCTTTCATGCATCTTCACAGATCTCGGTCTTTGGTGTTCTGGGTCAACTCCACTGATGATATCCCTTCACGCCACTGTCTTAAACCATCCAGCATCATTTCTCTTAATCTGCCCCTGCCTCTTCTACCAGCGATCTTTCCAGTCGTCGCGATATTTTTCAGTGACCCTTATCTCATCACATGACCAAAGAACTTTTTTTTTTGGTCTTCTTCTCATTGTTATATGTAATGTTTTACTGGCACTAGCCATTTCTAGGCAATCATTTTATTTATAAAGATTGAAAATAAGTCATAAATTAATCCCCTAATGAAAACTGGTGATGAAGGATATAAAAAACTGCCAATAACTGCCTTTATAACCACTTATGCGGTGTAGGCAGGGTGGTCGTTGAGTCTGATGATTTACGGCCGCAAGGCTAGTGCTGTCGCCACGACTGTGCAGGTGAGGATTTTATTTTGCCTTTGACAGAAAAAGTCTCTAGCCTTACTGAGGATTCGAACCCCGGTCTCTTGCTTGAGAGCTCAGCGCTTCAACCGTTCGGCCAGCCGCTCCTCGATGAAGGATATAATTTCAGGAGAGCGAGGCAGAGGCAGACCATCACAAATGTGGATACAGAACACTGAAGTTGCATTGGATAAGAAAGCACATAGGGCTGGATAACTGGCTGGAGAACAGGAGACTTTCAGGCGGTGCCGTGACAAGAGCGACATTCTGTAGAGGACCTGTTGAGTGATGGTGATTAATGGGGCATAGGCCTTTAGATCGATGGCTACGTCGTTTCTTTGTAGAAAAGGAGGATCTCTCTCTCTCTCTCTCTCTCTCTCTCTCTCTCTCTCTCTCTCTCTCTCTCTCTCTCTCTCTCTTTCTCTCTCTCTCTCCCCTTTCTCTCCTGTGTTTTTATTTAATTTCTGTGTATTTATATATATTTCTAAAATTAAAGTACGGCAAAATCAGATTTAATCAAAGGCCTATTGATTGCATGTGCAACTGCTCATCTGTTTGCAGCTGCTGCTTCCGTCCATGCTGAACTGCATTTCTATTGTAGGACTATTTGTGTTGGCACTTCTGATGTCTGCCTTATGCTTTTAATGCCTGCGTATACTAGAGGATATGCTGGGACTGCAGTCTGTGTTTTTTTTTTCATTGGCACAGGAGCGGAGCAACTTTGGGGTGACCGGTTTGCTGTAAAGCTAAAACCAGGCTGCCCGCCCCCCCCCCCCCCACGCCCCCCTCCCCCCAAATGTGATAACAGAGCAAGAGGTCGCTAAAGAAGATTATCGATCGATTTGTCTTCTGAGGGCTTCTACCTAGAGGTTTAACATACCATCTCGATGTTAAAAAATATCAGTCATAATGGCATATCACGAAACAAATGATCACAGATACCCTTCAACCTATAAAGAAGCTATAATTATAGCACTTGTAACACAGATATAAACGGACTAATCAAACGGCATTTGACCATGGTAATGTTAAAGGACTACAAAACAGAAAAGCGAGTTACAAGATTGCAAACATGAATTTGCGGCAGCATCTCACGTCCACGAATGAAGAAGGTAGGTCAAATAACATGAGAACTGACTGACTTTCTACCCCACCAGGACATCACACAAGCGATAAACACCCGATGACACAAAGTGCCACCATGCGGATGAGGATCACCGTGGAGAGGTCCAAGAAACCGCGTTCAGACAATTGGCCATATTGATGGCCTGCCTATATTGCGGCCCCTGGCAAAAGCCAGAGTGGGGCTTCAAATAAGAAAACATTACGTCCTGAAAAGGACGTAAGTGTGTTAATAACAGCACGATCAACATCGAAAAGATAGAAGTAATGTCAGTAGGAAGAAAGAAGCAGGATTTAAACATAGCATTAGAACACACACACACACACACACACACACACACACACACATATATATATATATATATATTAAACAGAAATCTGAATTTAAATATCTTACAACATAATTCACTAAAGATGGTAAATTAGACGAAGAAATGGACATTTGATGCAGTAAAGCTGGCCAAGTATTGGGACAGCTCGCTCCCTCTTACAGAATAAGGCAATCCCAATCAACACAAAGAGACATCTCATAGAAAGCATATTCATTCTCATCCTTTGCTGCCAGTGCCAGACGTGGTCACTCACAACAAAACATACAAGAAAATTTGTAACCATGGAAATGAGGTGTCTGAGAAAGACTGTAGGAGTGACCAGAAGAGATAAAATCAGGAATGAGGCCATACGAGATAAAGTCGGCACAGAACCAATTCTCAATTACAAAGACATACAGCAGATCAAATGGTTGGAGAGAATGCCTTCTGAGGCTATAACTTTTCAAAAAGAGGAGAGAGACGTAGAGCAAGAGGTAGACCAAGAACAAGATGGAAGGATACCAACAGAGAAACTCTAGTTCTACAGTACCACGACGTGTCTTTGGTCGAAGCAGCCAGAAAAGCACGAAGCAGGACCTTATATCTCCCTCGACGCTCGAAGCGGTAAAAAAGAACGTACAGAAGAAGATGCACATCTACACTAGCCAGGTATAACCTGCCTTTATATGCCAGTAAGCACGAGAAGAAGATCGACTGATTTCGTTTATTTAGTGTGCCACCAATCGAACGCTGAACTACCTTTTCACGACGACAGACAGGACTGCTAAAGTGAAAGATGACGATGATGATGATGATAACGAATACAAGACAAAACTCATATTACCTTTTTGTTCTTACAGAGCGGAGACAGCGAAGGGTGTTTCCCGACCTCACACCGCCCTTTGATACCTTGAACACCAT